CCACCTGGGTTCGAGGCAAGCTCATGATCCGGTCCTGAGTCAAAGGTCGACTCACTCCGATGTATCGGTCCACTGCGATGACGCAGAGGGACAAGACCGTCGCACCGGAACACAGTTCGTCAGTGAAGACCCAAACCTGGCACATGGGATGGCCGAAATTCCACACCCCGCCGAACTGAAGGAGGGCCGAAAACGGCAAAACTAGAAACCCCGTCAAGACGTAAACCACGGCTAAGTTTCCCATGAGGAGATGTGTGGAGCTCCTCATGGACGGCGTGACCTTGATCACTGTCAGCACGAGAGCGTTGCCGACCACAGTGAGGATGATGAAAATCACGAAGATTGTGGCCAGAGCAACGTCGAACCTCTCGAACATCCCGGGAAAGCGAAGCGTGACTCGGTTCGTATGAACCGAATTCGTCTGCGTAACGGGATGAGAGTTGTCGTTCAACTCCGTCATCCTCGCGGCTGAGGAACCAACTAGATGCTGGTCTCCCCGTTCAGCACAACGGAGTTAAAAATAATAGAGGTGGAGTCGGCGCGATCTTAGGAGCAACGTAGGAGCTGGGGAGCATGCGTACCGCGTTTAGGGGCCACATGGCCGGCATCAAAGGAGGCTCTTCACTATCGACTCGTAGGGGATTTTTCTGAGTTTTCATCTCTGCTTTCTCGAAAACGCTAACACGGTGGAAAACTGTAATTGCAGTCCAAGAGCAATCGATCACTGAGATTCCCACAGGCCACAAGTTGTTCCACGACTTCCTTCTTTCATCCACGTGGTTCCCTAACTTCACTGGCTAATGGGAATGAAAGACAACCAGGAATAGGCCGTAGCTGATTACCGACGATTCCTGAAATTGATCTGCAGAGGAAGGAGCGGCTGTTCCGTTGCCACCGACGGGGTAAAGGAACTGGTACCACGGGAACGTCGGAGCAGCCCTACAGAATACGGAAGCTTCCACGACCATGACCCGCGGTCATCTGCACCTCGGACCTCGTGGTCGCCCTTCGTGCCTGCTTAGTATTACCATACGCCTCGTTTTTCCCGGACATGTCCTCTTTCTTAACTTTTCGTCCGGTAGGAACGCGTCCCCATGGGTTACTATACGTCCGGATATTTTCTCTGGACATGTCCGCCTTTTTCTTCAAATTTCCGTTCGACTTCTAAGCGTCCTCTTTTTGGCTGTCCGAAATATGCTAACCCTATATCTGCTGCTAGCCTATCTCTGCCCATGTTCATTTGAAGTTCGATCGTCTTCTTTCTCTAGGCTTGTCGTAAAATAGGCTAACCGTGATCGTCGAAAGGCCACTCAACATTAGTCTCCTCGTGAACCCGGGCACTCACAGCAAAGGCCTATATTTGGAAATTGGTGTCCCGTACTTGTGAGGAAAACAGTCCTGACAAGACATCATAGGGCTTATGAATTAGTGTGAAACCCATTTTTCAAAGGGTTCATTTTTTCATTTTCCTTTATTCAACCCCGCTCTTTACGGGACTCACGTTAAAGAAAATCTCAACCCCTCACCTTACGGAGCCAACTAAATCTGTAAGGGTCGATCCTGGGGTCTTTGAGACATTTCGGTGAGGACGTGTAATGTTAGACTGATTAGAGGCCTATTTCGTGTTCATGAACCATTTCAGTGCGGACGTGTAACGTTAGGCCTATCTGGAGTTCCTCAAACCATCTCGACTAGGCCTGAGCAGGTCAGGGTAGGTCATGCTACCTAGGTTAGGTAGCATGAAATCCATGGTGCGCGCCATCCTGTTAATTGAGGGATGTCCCGATATCCGCTTATCCCACCACATCGATTGGCCACTGCTAACCACCGTTTCAATCTCAGTTCATACCATGAACTCAGCCCAGAAAGTCTTATGAATTAAAAAAGCATAATATCCAGACACAGAAACAAAGGTGGAAGCACTTATGAATCCGACATAACTCCAGCACGATATCCGGCAACACTGGAGGATGGGACTCAAACCCGTACGCTAAGCCTAAATGAACGACAACTAATTTCACTTTTTATATACTGATGGTGATGCATCCCAAACAACTAAAACGGTAATTTTCATGATCTGCAAGTCAATATCTTTCGTTTGGTAGGAATACTTTTTCCGGGAACACCCCAGAGGGGAGAGGATAAAAAAAAATACCGTAATGAAATTCACATCTTCAAAAAGCGGTGTTCTCCGTAACCCCAGGGAATTGAGGCTTCAAATTTGCTGGAGCGATTCTGTGTTTAGAGGGGAAGAAGCAATCCCAATTTCGTTCCTCTAGATGAGTGATGAGCAACCTTTCTTGATTGCGGGCCGCAAGTGAACCTTTTAGGTTCCGGGCAGGCCGCATGTATTTTTTTAAATACTGAATTACCGACTGAGTACCAATATAATTCTAAGCCTGGCTTAGTAAACCATGTATATGCTAATTATATGGAAATTACTACATGTGAATTATTTCTCACTTTTTTACTGAGCAAAATACCAGGCAAGCCGCTTGCTCAGGGAGCAGTGATACACTGACCAAGAAGAGAGTGAGGGGGTATTTGCAGCTGTGGCGGAAATATAGCTTTTTATGTTTTTCTTCTTGCTTCCGTTTCTCTTGCAGTGGGTAATGGAATTCTTGAGCGCACGTGCGCTCTACTCCGGATGGCAGATGACAGAGGGAAAAAAGTCAATTGGCAAAGCCCCGCGGGCCGCATATCAGGGCCTCACGAGCCGCGGTTTGCTCTAGATCAGTGGTTCCCAACCTTTTCTTGCCGCGACCCTAAATTGGGCATCGACAGGACCTCGCGACCTTCAGGCTTATGATAAAATTCAAGTATGTATATGAATAGAAATACATACATGTATATGTAATTATATTGATTTTATAATTTATTTACGAGTATATTCATGTATTAATTATTTAAAACTAAAGAAATTTATTGGGAATTCAGGTATAAGTAAAGTTTATTGAATGTCTTGATGCATACAAATGCACATTAAACATCATCAGTAGTTCAATAATATACAAAAATTAATTTGAAAGCAGGCAAAAATGCTAATTGAAACGAATAAATGCTTAAAATATTTATCAGAAATCCCCATTTAACCCAGACACTCATCTCCACAGACAGTACTGACCATAGCAAGGGCCACGTTTTGCCATTTTGCAAAATCAGAGGTAAGGGCTTAAATTTGAAACGAGACAAATATGCACGTAATGCACTTTTGTCTTTTGTACTCGTAAGCTACGGTAAGGAGAGAAAAAAAAACTGTTGGTCGGCGGGGTCGCCTCAGCCTTTCGGGCACTTTTTAGCATTAAAAAATGAAAAAAATTTCTTCCGATGCCCCTTTGCGACCCTACTGAGGACCCCCGCGACCCTGATTTGGGTCGCGACCCGAGGTTGGGAACCACTGCTCTAGATGCTATCAGAGAGGAATTCGAGGAGGATTGAATTTGGTGACGGGAAGAGGTTGAAGAAAGGGAATAGGTGCTGTAGAATGGTCAGGCTTGCGGTGCAATGGCTACCTTTCATCCCGTTCGCTTCCACGAGAAAATGAGAAGGAAAACTGGGAAAATTCATTGGGGGTAAATAGAGAAGAGCCACTACGATACCAACTGATATGGCTTCTATTTTAAATGCAACAAACGAACATCTCATTTCGTGCAGTCTACAGTACTATTTCTTAACGCAGACATCGACTTCGGACATGCCACGGGCCGCATCGATCGGCCATCAGTAGCAATTGTTCTGTCTCAATTCATCTCACGAACTCATCCCGGGGACGAACTGTTTCAATTTTGCTGGAGTGATTCTGCGTTCAGAGAGTTTCGAGCTTGCTCGATTTTATTCCTTCAGTTGCTCTCAGAGAATATTATGAGAAGGTGGAACAGGAGATGGCGTATATCCAGGGCCGGATTAAGGGGGGGGGGGGGGGGGCAAAGGGGGCGGTTGCCCCGGGCCCCCCCCTTCCAGGGGGCCCCCGAAGGAAATTTAAAAACCACTCTTCCAAGGGGCCCCCCCGAAGGAAATTAAAAACGTAAAGTTCAAAAAAAGTATTGTATTTGCGTAAAGTAGCGGGGGGGGGGGGCAGGAATTCACTTGCCCCGGGCCTCGCAACTTTTTAATCCGGCCCTGCGTATATCCATTGTAAACTTTCCCATTATAGCCTGAAGTATAACCTACGAGATCCACATTCATGAAAATGGGGCAACACGATCATAGGATTGCAAAACTTGTTCTCTCCCTTTTCTTTCAAAGATTCGATTAGTACTTTGATCAGTTAGTGAGTGCGATCATTCGCAGTCGCTGTTTTTGTGCATGACGAGATGAAATTTAAACTACAGAGAGGTCCAGAAAAAATGAAATGTTAGGAATGTAATATTGTAATTTATTTTATTGATACAGATACCCAGTGAATAAAAAGCCACATTACGCATTAGTGGAACACTACCTCCGGAGTTATGGACAAGGGCGTTCATGTAATTGTAATTTAAAAAAATGCAAGCATGTAAATAAATCACCATATTACATTCCTAACATTTCAGTATATTTTTTGGCCACCCTGTATATCGATGGAGCTTCTTTGAGAGATGGAACCAAAAATCCCACGGAAGACGTTGCGGGGAGGCCAATCATCGTAAGAAGAGTAAGAGAACCCTCCCCACGACAGGGCAGGAAATTGAATCACCGACAAGCGTTATGTCAACGCTGCTGGAGGAAACGAAAGCTCTACTGTCTTCATTTTTCCTTCCTCCCTCGTAACCTTCCCACCCCCCCGGGCCAGGCCATGAATGGCTAGAGCAGGAATTAGAGCGAAGTCTTCTCTGAGTAATGCTTTCCGTTCCTCTGCCTCACTTTCTGCAGTCTGGTTTCCTTCTTTTTCTCCTTCCTTTCCGCGCTATTGTGAATGATGAATTCCTCGAGGGAAGGCCGTTCCTTGTATCCTCATTCTAGCTCCAGAAGAGGCTTTTCCCTTCCAGTCCGTAAATCGATATCAAGAGAAGGACTCGATAGCGGCGAAGGGGTTTTATTCCACATCGAATAAGTTTCTCAAACTTTTTCGAGTTTGGACTTGGCATACTTGACCCAACTGTCGATGCCGTCCTTGCTCACCTCTTGGTAACCCGGGATCTCCTTCTTGCAACGTTCCAGCCACTTCCTCACGTTCTTGTACGCGCTCAGGTCCACCAATCCCACAGGCTATGGAAGTGAAATGACGATTTCGTACATCCCAGCAATATGGGTTCCTGCTAGAAGTTAACATAAATCTAGCTTGAATTATGCAATTATTATTGATAATTGTTTTAATAGCGAACGGTTGGCCTATGTTCATCAAACGAGTCCTACTTTACTTTGATCTGATTGTTTACCCCATCTGATCTTCAAACGTCGACAAGAACAATACTCAGGGGAAAATTGATACTTTCACGTCGGAACAGTGTTAAATGTGACCAGTTCTGTAAGCATTGCGTTTTGGAAGCAATATGTATGATATTTCACCTCCATGGTGCTGACGGAAGCGACGATGGCCACGTCGGCCAAGGTCAGGTGTTCTCCAGCGCAGTATTTCCCTCCTGATTTGAGAATGAATTCTTCCAACCAGCCCAGGGCTTCCACACATTTCTTCAGCTTTTCTTCGTCCAAGGTCTGCCCCTCGAATACTGGTGGGTACTGTTCGGCAAGAAAAACAGTGATGGAATTTTTGCGGCTGTAGGCCATACACTCTGTGTGAGGGTCTCGCGATTTAAGATTTTTAATTTTAAGTTGTTCATACGAATATTATTATTGTGTATTATTGATCTCACTAGCTTTCTAATATTTATTCTTTCACGTCTCTCGAAAAAAATAATCATGTTTGAATTTTGTCAGAAAATCCTTTATCGTGCATTTTGTAAATCAGTTATGAACGAAATTATTCATATATAAATTTTACAGAATTTTATTTTTACAAGTGTGTTATTGGAAAAAAGCTATATTTTTCGATACTTACAACATAGTCACCGAGTCGCTGATAAAGAGTTCCCATGTCGAAGTAGAGTCTTTGATCCACCACGGCCCTCTGCTTCGGATCCTTCGGGTATAGTTTGTCATCTTTTCCATACCGGTTCACCAGGTACGTCATGATGGCACGACTGCAAATCCAGAGTGTTTCAGTGCAACCGACTGTACCCTTTTGATTTATGGGAAGGACCCTTGAAAGGGGGACTCACCTTTCCCAGAGAACGAAGCCATCGTCGTTCAGCGTCGGGACTGTATGTTGAGGATTCATCTGACAAAAAAAGTCACAGATGGAGTGCCCTGATGGTCATGCTCCAGCGATAGAGACATTTTGGAAACTTACAGCCACGAATGTGGGTGCCATGTTTTCTCCCTTTTCCAAGTCCACGAGTTTGAGATCCAACTGAACATCGATGGCCTTGGCCGTGAGCATCACGGCTCGGCACGGAGAACTCTCCGGCATGTAATACAACTCCAGCACCATCTTTCGCTTTCGAGCAACTGAGCACACGGGAGAGGAACGTGAGAGATTGAAGACTGAGTGCCTGCAGGTCTCGGCAGGTCGAATTTGTTGATGTCAAATACCAGTAGAAGTTGAAGTGGTCAAAGATAACGACGGTCAACATAGGGAAGAAAAGGGCGGGAATCCACAATGACGGGAATCCTAGCCACAAGATAAGCAAACATTATCAGAATGCCATTTAGGCGCGGAATTAAGAGGGATGTGACCGACCTTGAGTCGGTGCAAATGCGTAGCACTTTCAATCAACTACTACGCCTTCGTCATAATCAACGTTTCAAGTCCTCATGAGACATGACTCTGAGATGCCTCCAAAAGCCATCGATGGGACTTTTTACTTGTCCCAAGAGAAAAAAAAACATGTGCTTGGATTTAGATGCATTTGTGCCGTGTGCGAAAAGAAAAATATTCGGCTCAGGGTTTCAGGAATAAAAAATCCGAAAGTGGCGGAAGTTAAGTGAAAGTATTCGGAAAAGTTTGTCATACAATAGAGGACATATCTAGTACAATCATTGAGGATTTCAAATGATATTCGTACTATGTGAATACGTAGCATTCTGGTGCAAGCAGTGCCATACATGCGACGACTTGAGGTAGCGCAGATTAGCTGCCTAATCAATACAAAATATGAATAAAACTTATAAATAAAAAAGGCAAATTATCATGAACTTAGCTAAATTAAACAAATTAATACGTAATGTATTGTTGGCGCTGGAGAGGTATAGAGGGGGAGGGGGGCGCCAAATATCGTCGGTATAGCGCTGGGTGTAAGTCACACCCCCCCCCCCCCCTCTCCCCCAGCATATTAATCAGTCGGGAAAGGGAGACTGGGTCTCGGAAGTAAGACCTAAGCCTCCCTCCGCCAGTTTATCCATTTCCACGCCCCGTGGCCACATTCATTGAAGGGTTGGAGACGCTGTGAGGTCGCCTGGTCATGCGATCATTCACATCAAGTCGATGGCTCCAGTGATTAACGGAACTGAATGTTCTACCAAGTTTCAATAACGGAAACACCAGGTACTTAGAGACTACCAGAGCAAAGTGCTATAAGTGATACCAATACTGCCAATAAGCTAAATAATCTACATTCAGACTCACGCATTCACAAAACTCTCAGTCACGTGCGTATTCGATGAGAAGTCGACAGTGAAAACTCTCAGCGAAACGCCAACCAGACAACGGATAGGGAAGCAACGTAGATGACCTTGGGCTTTTCCACCCATCACTGTCGAGTAGGAACATGTTTTAACCTCCATTCTTTGGCCTCAGACCTTCCTCCCTTTCCTTTGTCAGTCTATCGTGATGAAAGATGTCATGATAAATTTCATTGAACCATTAATGCTTGTGCATAATATTTTCAAGAGTGTACAGAGTCGGATGACTAAAACGGCCATCGCTTGCTAGGGTGCCCTTTCCCAGTTCCCCAAGAGCCGATCTGGGTAAGAGAGGCCCGTATCGGTTGTCCATCTCTGCCCTCTCATGTAACCCTCACTCCCGTTCCAAAAAAAACATCCTTTAGGTTAATCCATATCAGCTGAGAACATGTGGATGTTACCTCGGCACTAAATGGACGAAACGTATTTATTCCATAATGGAGTTCGTGCCGTCCATGATAAGAGGGAGAGGGAGAGTGTTGCGGGATTGATGGGAGCAGGAAGACGTCGCGTCCGGCCATCACGAGTGAAATCCATCTATTTCATATTCCGTAGCTGTGACGATCTTCCAATGGGAAAAAAAAAAATCAAATGAGAAATGATGACGCGCTTAAGCACTTCACACTCTGTCATTTGTCATTGTCATTGCTGCCTAATTTCTCTATAAGTTCTCCCTGGAGTGACGTATCCCTGATTCCGTGGGTGTTCTGTCTAAAAATTAATTCGAGAAGTAGCTGAGGCTGGACTTCTTTCGGGAAATACCTCACCCTATTTCCAGGACCATCCTGGGTTGGACCTCCTCCACACTGTTCACCCTGTTGAACCTTGTTATTATTTTATGTCAGATGATCATCATGCACTCTGAAACATTCTCTAAGACACGAATATTAGAGAAGATATCGCCACCCAAACTGTTCTTACCGCTGCATCCAGAACTTATTTGAAATTATCCACTCAAGCCATTCTCTCTAGCCACAATGATGGAGTCACGTTTTTACTTATGATTCGTGTCAATACTCAGATATTTCTGCACTGGAAAATCAACTCAGCTGATTTTCTCCCCAACCTCTTGCTGTTTGTCAATGTCAGTCAATTTTTTTCGTCGGATGGATCCGCTCCCTCGACCAACCCCCGCCAACGGTGCCCCGAAAAAACGCCCACTGAAAAAATGCCCACAGTAAAAGCGCCCGCAAGAAAAAATGCCCACGGAAAAAACGCTCATACCTGCAAGGTACGGAAAAATGCCCACATGCATATTTCCAAATATCTCTTGCGGCTTCTTTTTTTTATTTGTAAAAACGAATGCAGTTTAATTTTCCAAACGTGATATATAACCATTGAATACATTAAATATATCACATCTATCAACGTAATAAAACATTAATGTGAAAAAATATTCTTAAGATTCCTGAACGCTTCAACGTTGGATCAACGAAAGGAGTATTATTTCCGGGATTGCAAAGGAAAACATGAGAAAAAAGTCACGAGATAAGATCTGGTGCGTGGGATTTTGTTGCTAATTCGCCTGTCCTTTGGACCGATTTCATTAGCAATGGAATAATTGTAGTGTGACATGCGACGTTTGACATGAGAAGGCCTGGTTGCCTACAATTATCTTGGAGGCTGGGGCGTATTGATCCCGAGGAAGGCGGAAAGATAAGCTCCATACAGAGGATCATGAGAAAAAAATAAATCTTTGAACATTGTTTTAGACAAGACACTGACAACTCTTGATTGACAATCCCCCTCCTATAGGAGGGGGATTGTCCCCCGCCAACTCGGATAGACTTGTATCGTCAACTATACCGAACCTTGACATGCTGTACCAAGTCAAGGACGATCCCTAGCAGCATATAACATTGAAACAACATTGATTCGATGTTGATTCAACATGTGGACGTTGACTCAATGTTGATTCAATGTTCAATGCTGCTAGGGATGATTGGGTCGAATTTCGAGACGTTGCGTTAACCTTACAGTAGTCTCGTGGGGGTATTTTATTTCCAACCCGCCATTACGAGCGCGTCATGGTCATGTTTTTATTTGCTTGATCTTGATCACTTCAGTACATCTTGACTATGAAAACGATGCGAGTCTCTTGTGTAGCACTAACATGCAGCAGATATACAGATTAACAAATATGCTGTGTTTTTATTTTATTTCCCAAACATCCTTCAGAAATTTATTCCTCCCCCCCCCCCCCCCCCTTCGACTACTGTCAGTTTGGCCTGGATTCTCCAGCACAGGTGCTCCGATTGATTTGCATGGCATATGAAGCAAGAAGCTTAATTGAAATACTCTCAGACATGCGCCTTCGGCGACTAATGGGACGAAATCAGGCTTTATTTTAACTCTTTCCCATGATTCGACTCGATGATGCGCTTCGTCGAAGGCGAAAAAGTGTCGCTAGAAGTTTTCTCCTTTGCCGTTAGAAGTCGGCCAAGTATGTTTCAGAGTCCATGGGGGATCGGTATCACCGAATCCTCATGCAATAGTCATGAAAAGACGCAGAAAACGTTAGGTGGGAATCCACGTCCACCCAAAGGCATGAAATGCCTCTGCTGCCCCCGGGATCGATAAGCTCTAAGCAGTCGCTCGGACTTCGCCTGCTTCCTCCGCGACTCCCAGATAGGAAAGAATAACTTGATGTCCTCTTTCCCCCCCCCCCCTCCTCCCCGGAAGGATGACGTCAGGATGTCGTTTTTCAATGTCGATTTTTCCATTTGAATGTAGAGGCGAGAGACACGATTTTCTGGGCTGAATGGAACGATACACACGAGCATGGAAATTTCCTTCATTCTCGCACTGCATTTTTGTAAATATTTTTTCCTCCTTCCGTCCTTTGACGAGGACTCCTCTCGACCATCCATAATGACGGTGTAATTGTATTTTGCATGGGTACCACCATCCCTGCCTGTCATTTCCGCCTCTCATGAAGCTTTGAAAATCGAGTTTGTAGGCCAGAGTTTCCTCACTGCTTCGTAGTCTGGTAACTCGAAAAGGAAGTCGAAAGGTCAACGCTGCTGCGCACCAATGCAAATTGGAGGGAATTCAGATTTGCAGACGAGACGGAGAGAAGCCAGAGAGGAAAAGAACTCACAAACCCAGGCAGAAAAGGAAGGAAGAATAAATCTGCGCTTCTGTGTTTTTTTACTCTTTCTGCATCGATGCCTGCGGAAAGTAGACAGGACGGACGTTTTATCCATCTTAGTCCCTACATAATTGTATTACCAGATTCCCCACACTTACTGCGACTGTGCAGGACAGCAGTAATCACTCAGGATTAATTAGAAATGGCATAAATGGCCTCCTTATTCATCTTCACACGAAACCCTCGCTTCTTTTTGCAGCATTGGTGAAGCATTGCCTTCCTTAGGAAGAGAGACCGCATACTAATTTGCCGGAGAGTGAGCTTCTCTGGAACTTTTTTTCTGGACTTTTACGTATCATCATTTCATCGTTTTCTAGTCACAAGAAATTCTTTTTGGTTCTTCGGCAAGACTGTGCAGCGAAATTAGAAGGGATAAAAGGCATTCAGATGGAGATTTGAGAGTGGTTTCAAATTCGAACGATTTCCATTAATTCCTTAAGCATTTATTGATTACGCAGTCGATTTTTTTGCTTAAAGTTGGCACCCATACTTGAATCGAAGTTGGTTGGAAAAGCCTGGAGGATAAACTTTCTAAACGAGAATTTCGGAATTCTGAAGGGAATTCGAGAGACGAACCAAGGGAAGCCGGTCTCCCTTTCCTTCCTCGCAGTTCCAGTCTCACCTCAGGCGGGAAAAGTGTCTGATTCCGTATTTCCCTCGTCTGAGTGCCATGCGAGTGACCTTGAGGGAAGTCCTCGAGGATTCTGGAGGGTGAGTCGTTAGTAT